CATAAATGACATTCCATGGTTTGCAGGTGTCTGACTTCTTCGCTAGGTTGATTCAAAGAGTTTCTCCGAAAAGTTATCAACAAGCTCTTGCTGAAGTAAAGGTTACTGCAAAGTTTCTAAAGAACTTCTCTGGCGATCAGGTAAGGTTCAAAATGTTCCGGCCATATTTTCAAACATAATGTGCGGGAAACTTGAATAGAGACTCTTCAAAGACTTCTCTAGAGGATAAAATATTTAGGATATTTTCCACTTGTTTTTTTCATTTTTTCTATGGAAGTTATTATTATTATTATTTTTTTTTTAAGCTCCTTAGCTTTATTAGTGTTGAATCCTTATTACATGTGTTGCAGTTGTTTTTATATACATCTATTATTATATAATTTATATATAGTAGCAAATAAATAAGGCGACTATGACTAATAAAATTATTGTAGTTTACTTTTCACAAATATGATTTTAGGCATCCATTCGATAGCTACCAATATTTTATTGCTTCTATCATAATGGATGAAATGTACTCAACCAAACGAGTTCAGATGACAAATGTCATCAACTAGGAATTTGTCACATAGAATGCTTGATTAGTGAGGTATTATGGTGAAGGTTTGCTGTTCCTGTTTCATTTATTTGCAGGTTCGCTTCTTGGCAAGGTCTTTTGCAGTACCTGGAGATCATCTTGGACAACAAAGTCATGGTTTTCGTTGGCCCTATGGTCCTGTAAGGAAGCATTTTTAGACATCTCTTACATAAAAAGTTGAAAATTTAGATCAATATATTGGACTTCCTTTTATTTATTTCATTTGATGCATTATGTTGTTGTATGATGATTAATATTTAAGAAGGTTCACTTTAATTTTTTCAATAAAAAAAATTAAAAAAAGTTATTTCAACAAACTAAAACATACATGGGGATATATATATATATTCTTTTTGGAGAAAAAATGATACTTTCATTAGAAAACCGAAAATCAACTGTTGTACCTTTGTATCATCCACGTGAGAAAGCAGCAATATCTTGATCGTATACTTTAGGCTGCCCAAAATATAAATACTATTGTTTAACCAATGAGAGGGTTTACTCCGTGGCGTTTTATGTTATAGACAAATGAGGCAAGACCTTATAATTTTATAGGATCCATTATCTACCAAAGCTCCAAATTGGTTTAGGCCAGTCCTTTATATAATAAAATTGGTAGTAAACTGTAAAAGTTTACTAACGGAAAATAAATATAGATGAATATAAAATGACAAGGACACATGGTTAAGAGATATAAAATTAAAGTAAATATAAATTTTGTTTAAAATATTAAAGCTAAATATAGATTTCGCATAAGGTCTTAGGCCGGCCTTGAGTTTATTTATATTTATAGCAATTATGTTTAATTTTAGAGGTTGATGGTAAACTCTTGATTCATGTTCGTATTTCTCTAGATTGTGTGTTGTTTTTCCAATGTTATTATTTTCACTTACAATTTGTGATCTCGCCTATAATTGGAAGATATTTTTGTAATCCAGCCTCTGGAACTTTCTGTAAATCTCATTATCATCAATGAAATAGAGGTATCTTACAGAAAAAAATTTGTAATCATTTGCAGGTTGCAATCATCACTCCTTTTAACTTCCCCCTAGAAATTCCACTACTTCAGCTGATGGGTGCACTTTACATGGGCAACAAACCCGTTTTGAAAGTTGATAGCAAGGTACAATTGCAACATTAACTATATCTGCAGAATAAGAAAATAACATTATGCTTGTGTAAGAGAGGTATATAGATTAAGAATTGTATAGTTTGAACATATAAAATAAAGTAATTACGAAAGGAAATATTAATATTTTGTAGGTGAGCATAGTTATGGAGCAAATGATTCGATTGCTTCACCATTGTGGCCTACCTCTGGAAGACTTAGATTTTATAAATTGTGATGGGAAGACAATGAACAAGTTACTGATTGAGGTAAATTTTTAAGCTTACACCAAACATTGTCACGAAATATTTTATAGTTCGATGCAGAACTTTGTTGCTGGGTTCTATGGTTTGAAAGTTTTATTGGCTAATATGGTTTGAAGGTTTTATTTTCTCTAACCATATTCGACCACCCTAGATGAAATTTTCTTTTATATAAATTTTACATTTTTCCATCGTTAAAGATGGTTTAGACATATTAGATTTATGGCCTGGCCTGAGTGATCCTAAAAATTCTTTAGGCAAATCCATCGATGACTCTTTTCACTGGTAGCTCAAGGGTGGCAGATAAGTTGGCCGTTGACTTGAAGGGCCGCATTAAATTGGAAGATGCAGGATTTGACTGGAAAATCTTAGGGCCAGACGTTCAAGAGGTCATTAGCTATACGGTTTGCGATAGTTTTTCCTGCATCCGTGTAAAACATCAATTTTATTTCTTACTTTTTTTGGTTTTGAACTGCAGGAGGATTATGTTGCATGGGTTTGTGATCAAGATGCATATGCTTGTAGCGGTCAGAAGTGCTCGGCACAATCAATACTGTTCATGCATGAGGTTTGATGCTTTGTTTTAGTATTTATTTCGAATACTAAATTTCATATTCTTTTTCTTATTCCATCTATCGGTGTAGATCTTTAGTTTTTGCCCATGATTTTAAGTCTTTCAATTTCAATATATTTTTTTTTTGATGACATCATTTTTTTCACCATTGCACAGAACTGGTCTACAACTTCACTTATTTCAAAGATAAAGAATCTTGCAGAGAGAAGGAAATTGACAGATTTGACAATTGGCCCAGTTCTTACGGTATAAATGCTACTCTCATTGTTTCTATGCGGATGATATTATGATCACATGCAATGAGCAGAATAAAAGTCCTTGTCCTTTGCTTCATTATTTTTTGGTTGTTGCAGGTTACTAACGAAGTGATGTTGGATCACATGAATAAATTGCTCAAGATACCTGGGTCAAAGTTACTCTTTGGAGGTGAACCTCTTAAAAATCATTCCATTCCACCTATATATGGTGCTCTGAAACCCACCGCAGTGTATATTCCACTAGAAGAGATGATGAAAGATGGCAATTCCGAGCTTGTGACTAAAGAAATTTTTGGACCATTCCAGGTAAACGGGAAGAAAAAATAAATTATGTTGAAAGTTTTTCAACATTGGAAGTCAAATTTTTGTAGCTAAGGGTGTCTACGATGTTCATAAACATATTTTAAGAATCATAGATCTATGGATGGAAGCAAAATTTGAGGCAGTTGACTTGGTGCGAACACTTTTAGAATCAGTTTGTTGCCAATGTTTGCAGATTATTACTGAATATAAGAGAAATCAACTTTCAGTAGTGTTGGATGCTCTTGAGCGGATGCATGCTCATCTAACGGCAGCTGTTGTTTCAAATGACCCTCTTTTTCTGCAGGTACGTTTGATGATTCCCTATTTCTTACTTCCATTTTAACATGAGTCTACTGACTGACCTGACTCGACAAAACAAAACTATAATCATTGTTTTCTGATGGTCGTTCATATTAATCTACCATTTGGTACCATATTTTCTGTTATAAATTGATAGAAATATTCCTTGAAAATGGTCTAAACTCCATCATAATTCTTACTGCTACCCAATTAACATGGCATTCGAGTTGAAAGACCGAGAAGATTCTCCCCTGTTAAATTCATATATGCTAGTGGAGATATGGTTGCGACCATGAACTTGCTGCTGTTGTTGCTTTCAAGCATGATATACTATAGCAACTTGTTAACTGTGCAGGAAGTTATCGGAAATACTGTGAATGGAACGACATATGCTGGTTTGCGAGCGAGAACAACTGGAGCTCCGCAGAACCACTGGTAAGTTTGATCAGCTCTCCCTAACTACTAGTAGTTGATAGTAGTGGCTAAGAAAGTTTTTTTGTTTAGGTTTGGACCAGCTGGAGACCCCAGAGGTGCAGGTATCGGGACTCCAGAAGCGATCAAACTCGTTTGGTCTTGCCATAGGGAGATCATATATGACATTGGCCGCTTGCCATTGAATTGGGCAACCCCACAAGCAACTTAAAATGTGAGTGAAGTAGGCCCTGATGGCCCGTCTCCCGCCTGTCCCTACTAGAAGCAGCGGAGTCCATGACAGTTTTGTAGCTGCAGATAAATAAAAAGGCCTTCATCAAAGAGATTGGTATGATTCACCCGTTGAAGATGCTGTAAATAAGTCCTTTTTCCACTAGGTATCGAGTTTTCCTGTCCCACCCAATAATATTGGGGAGACAATCAAGGGTAGTGTCCCTTCAAGTTCCCAAACTGCCATGAAAGTGTGTTGTTTGAAGGGCAAAGACAATTTAAATCATTCAAAATTTCTCTTCTTGGCTTTTATCTGCTTTTAAGAAACAACATCGAACTTTATTCAATTAAATATCTTGCTTTGTTACTCAAATATATAAAAGGAGTAAATCAACCGATTTTAATGTTAGGAATTACATTACTAGTCATATATTTTTGCTATCGATACTATGTTTTAATAATACTAGTTCGTGATGTCAAAAAAAAAAAAAGAAAAAAAAAGAACTAGTTCATTATTCATTAGTTATTTGATAATTTGAAACTATAGTTCTTACTGTTTTTATGATTTATGAATTTAGCTCTTGTACATTAAAGCTTCTATGAAAAATCTTACATTTTTTAAAGTGGTCTAGAAATATACTAGGATCCCAAACACTTGGGAACAATGAGGAATTTGAAAAGAAAAATAAAAAAAAAGGAAAAAAATCTGTTTTTACAGAAAATGACAATTTTATAATTAGTTATATTATATTATATATATATATATATATATATATATATATATATATAGTTGTGCTTTCTTAGGGTTTTAAAAACTGTACTTAATATCACAATAATTTACCATTTTAAATCAGTCAATTATTAAAAGTCCTTGTTGATAATAATTAATAATTTCCTATATTTAAATTTATTATATTTTTAGGATATTATTGTTACCATTTAGGGTGAGAATTTGAAATTGACTTTGATATTTTCTGATAATAATTAATTATTTATAAAGTTTTATTTCTTTATAATTAAAACATTCCATATAAATGTATTATTTTTATAATTTTTCCTTTTTATCTGTTCGAATCTACGTCTTAATTTATACATGATTGTACAAGACACACAGAAAAACCATTTTTCAGTCGATTTTTTTTTAATTAATATGGGTCGATTTAATTTGATAACCGCGAAATCCATATCAATGTATTCATTTTTATATAGTATTACAAAATCTATTTAATTTTTCATTCACTGATTCGATCATGGAGAGTATATATATAGATCTTAATGATCTCCCGCTAACAGTGGCACCGATTTTGTCTTCCCAAATTTTCTCGTCTGAGCTCAGGTCGCATGGCCGTGGCTTCTTGTGGCAGGCCAGCAGCTGCCTCTTCTTCATCTTCTTCACTCGAATCATTAAAATCTAGGGTTTAAAACCCTAATTTTCACTGGGGTTATCTGACTTATTATTATCTTTTTTTTTTCTTTCTAAATTTGTTCGCAAGATTGAGTTTGAGAATGGATCAAAACCTCCACCATCCGCAACAATGGCATCCCAGGCCAATTCAAGGCACTGTCTGTCCAGTTTGTGCGATGCCCCACTTCCCCTTTTGCCCTCCCCATCCATCTTTCAACCAAAACCCTAGGTATCCGTTGGGGCCCGATCCCTCTTTCCAAAGACCCGGTTTCGACCCGCATCGTTTACCCATGGGAATGCCGCGCCCGTCCATGGGAAATCCTGACGATGGTTTCGCAGATCAGAGGCCGTGGTTTAGGAATTCTTACGGGCATGTCCCGTTTCATCCTCATAGAGAAGGCTTTTTGCCGCCACCTTATGATTACGGCGGCAATGAGTTTATAAACGACGCTGAAAGAAGCTACAAGAGACCGAGGGTTGATGATGTGGGCTCGGACGGGGTTGTTCATGAACTTGGTCGGAAGAGCTCCAGGAGTTCGTTCGAGGACGAGCGCAGGTTGAAGTTGATTCGAGACCATGGGTCTGCATCGAATGGGCCGCTTGAAGGTGGTTCTAGTTCCTTGCCCAGAACGAATTTGGGTTCTAATTGCGAGAGTTCAGCGCTCGAGGGCAATTTCAGCAAGTCTGGATCTGGGGACCCGGAGGAAGTCGGCCGCTTCCTTGGTGGCAAAAGTGATTCGGATAATGGGATTAATGATGGAAGAAGTCAGTACTTTCACGAGGAAGGTAATTTGGCTCCTGCAAGACAATTCCAGAATGGTGGGGAAGGTCTTTGGTCCGAATTGAATCATTCGGCAGCAGCATCTGGAAACAGAATTGACGCACGGCGATCCACCCAAAATGAAGAATTTTCACATTCTCGATATGATCACGTTGGAGGCCATTGGGGTGCTCAGCATATGCCACACCCTGTTCCTCCTGAAGCCACCGAAGACAGCTATCTCACTATCAGAGACGAATCGCACTATTCTGATAATCGGCATGCATTTCTCTGGATGGATGATACAAATAACAGCAAAATGAACGTTCTTGATCGTGACCATCGGCTGCCCCATCGCTTTGAGATGAACCCAATTCATACGAGGCAGTTTCCGTCGCAGGGATGTGAGGTTTTCGAAGGAAATGCTCATCATGGAACTCGAAACTTCAATTTTGGTGCAGGATACGTTCGGCGGCTTTCTGGGGGTGGTAGGTTTTTGGAAAATGGAAGCGCAATTGAAGATTCTCGCTTCTTTGATGAGCAACCCCCTCTTCCTGCTTCCCCACCACCACCTATGCCTTGGGACGCACACTCTTCTCAGGCAAAATCTTCATCTCTGTTTCCTGTTCCTGTTAGTAGCTCAGTAGTAACGTCATCCACATATTCTTCAGTTCCTGAACTACGCTCCTTTCACCACAATAAACCAGTGCCTCATGTTTCTTCGAGCCCTATGATGGAGGTGCGAAGAAGTTGATATGTATTTTTTTTATCATGCATTGCTTTTTTGGTGCATTTGTAACTTTTATGGAGATAGTTCATGGAACTCTTCGCTTAATTTTTTTTAGGATGCTCTGGCAGTGCACCCCTCGTTTTATAAGAAGTTTGCTGCAGATGGCAAACCTTTTGGATTGAAGCAATTTCCTCCGCTTAAACCCAAAGTTATTGATGCTTCGCATTTATTCAAGCTACCTCATCGATCGACTCGTCCCGATCACATTGTGGTTATCCTCCGAGGGCTTCCAGGTATATTTTTCTTTTCTTGCACCTGATTACTCAGAACTGAACGATCAAAGCCAGGCATTTTGCCGTATTTGTGAAGAAAAGAAAAACGATAGCTTTATTTTTCTTCATGCTTAATTTCCTACATCTATAGCTTCTTTTCTTATTATCATTTGCCTTAGTTGCTCTGGTGAAAATCAAAAAGTTCACTAAAATTATTTTCTTGGTTTCATATAAAAAAAAATTATTTTCTTGGTAGGAACTTAATTGTGATGAGATGGCTTATCTAAATCAAATTGTGCACTTAATGAGTCATTATATCTTTTGCTGATAAGGATAGGAAAAAGTCTCTGAACATATTGAATTCAAGAACGAACCTTAAGAATTGCTGTTGTTTTCAGGTAGTGGAAAAAGCTATTTGGCGAAGATGTTGCGTGACGTTGAAGTTGAAAATGGTGGTGATGCTCCTCGTATACATTCTATGGATGATTACTTCATGACAGAAGTGGAAAAGGCAGGCCTGATTTTCATCCTAATTAGTAATTAGTCTTTTGACACTGGTTATTATTAATTAATTTTTATTATTACTAAACTTTATGTGGCACTGCCTTTTGTTTTTCCTGACAGGTTGAGGAAGGTGATGCCAATCCATCAAATTCAGTTAAAGGCAAGAAGTCGATTGTGAAGAAGGTCATGGAATATTGTTATGAACCTGAAATGGAAGAGGTATGTAAATATGTAACTGATGATATAGGGAATGCCATTTTATGCATATGCTCCTGTATGTTCTTTATGCCTATATTTGACTTATTTATTTACGGAGCCAATTATCAGTTGTATTTTGGTCAAGACCGTATATTCCTTGTGTTTTGTGGTGGAACCTATTTGGCATGATGTATGGTGCATGTAGCATTTTCTCCATATTTTCTTTGGCTGCTAGGTAGTTGCATTTTATAGCTGTTGCTTCAAACGTTAGTTGCAAATATGGTTTCATTATCATTTTCGGTGTGACATGATAGCTAACAGACCAATGCAATAATAATGTGAACCATTGATATTGGTACATTACAGCTGTAATATGCCTATTTCCCATAAGATACTAAACTTATGAATCATGATCTGTTATATTCATTAGGAGATAGCTTTTAAGTGCTGCAAAACATTACGTTTTTAAACATCTTTCTGAGACGATATCTGATAATGGTATATTTTTGTCAGGCTTATCGGTCAAGCATGTTGAAAGCATTCAAGAAGACCCTTGAGGAGGGGGTATTCACCTTTGTAATTGGTATGAACTCTCCTCCCGTTAGAATCTCACAATAATTGTATACAATCCTACTCTTTTTCTATCATTCTAACTTTATTTCTGAACCATTTTTAAGTTTGAGGTATTTCAAAGTGAAGCCAGTGACCCTTTATTGTGAATTTTGTACTTAATGTGGTGACTTGACTTTTTTTGTGAATTCCTGTTTCGAAATTGTTGGTGCATAGTTTAGTATTCAGCTCATCATTTCCCATGCCTGTAGTAGCATAAAAAGTGGTGGCATGGTTTACCAGATAAACTATACCTTAGGCACCTAAAATGGTTAAAAAATGTAAACAATTCTCCTAGTCTCGATGGCTTCTTAAGACATGCATTAGTTAAGTAATCCAAGTTTGATTTTAGATTTAGTGGTGATGCAGTGCCAACGCCACTGCATTCCTTTTCACTAACTACACATGCAGTTTGTTCGGCAATTGATCCTTTTGTTGGTGGTATGTGTGCCTCGTCTTAGTGGATGACCGCAATCTGCGGGTAGCTGATTTTGCTCAGTTTTGGGCAATTGGAAAGGTATATTCTCAATTCTCTCTTTCTTACAACCCTAGCCGTCGTGTACTGAAGTGGCGACTTAAATGTGGGTGGCAACGTCATTTATTTAAGTTTTAAGTTATGCAATGGGATTGTGCATGGTGACTTTAGTAATTAGTTTGGAATATGTAGGGCTCAGGTTGACAGCATAAAAGGCCGAGATGATTGTTTCAAAACCGATGTTGATGTAGGCTATATTTTATTCTATCTACATTTGAGTCCTGGTCACAATATTTTTCATGCTGCTGAGACAACTTGAAGCTGTAGGAATTTTTTTTTCTGCATATTGAATCTACTTCTCACGTGGATTTTGCTTTGGACTCAATCCAAGGGCTTATAGCCCATCGCCTGAAAATATTCATTTTTAATTTTAGATGTCCATACGGGTTAAAAATGCTTTATGTGCTTTTGTTGTTGCATTTTGTAGTGTCATTCTGGATGCTCGCAATTGATTTCATGTATCTTCCTGGAGTATTTTATCTAAGCTCATTTTGTATTTATTCTCCACTTGCAATGAATTCCAATAGGGAACTTTTACATACACTCCGTAGGAGTGGATTTGGATTTTTTTATAACTTGTCAATATATCGAAAAGCGTTCTCCAGTTCCAAAAATAATTATGATTTTATTTTTTAATGTGATTTTATGTAATGTTTCAATATACTTGGATGCTTATGGTTCTTGGCCTGCAGTGTTAATGGTACTTTCATTGCTTCCTTTTGATAGACCAAATCTTGTCAATTGTGTAATACTCAATGCTAGAGCACTTCTTTTTTGCCTTGCAAGTCCTTAATATTTGGGATTTGTTTTGGTAGTTTCCAAATCGCGTCATGTTTTTTTAATTATAAAAAGGTCGCAGGAGACCAAGGAAGATCGTAGTTTCCTTTTTCTACGTGACTTTGCTGCTCCATACAAGGAGATATGGCCACTTTCAGATTATAATATGTGAATTATATTTGTCCTTGTTTATTCCAAGGAAAATAAACCATCATATTTAATCATTTGGATGATCAATAAGAAACTAATATGTGAAATGTAGACTTTGCTGTCTACTGTTTGTTTTCTTATTATTTCTTGATCTCTTGCCAGAATTCGGGCTATGAAGTTTACATTTTGGAAGCTACGTATAGGGACCCTGCAGTAAGTCTCTCTCCTTCTATCTGCTGTTATTTATTGGTGTTCATGGACTTTCCCCTTTCTATCTACTGAATTGAACTTTGAAACTTAGTTTCAGTGGAGGGAGGGTACAAAAGTAGTATTGGAGAACCACGGTCTAACAAAGTGTGATGATTTAAAGAAACTATTATAAGTAGTACTTCGGCTTTTTTTTAGATACAGGGGACTTATCAAAAGGAGTGTTAACTTCAAAATTATATTTCCTTTCCAGTTTCTGTCTCCATTATGTACGGTTATGGTGCAATAACTATGCCTCCGTTCTTTAATTACTGATAATTTCTAATTAATTTAATTCAGTCCCACATCCTGGTAACAAATTAAAATTATTTTTTATGATTCCACGTGTTCTGTTATACTAGAATTGAGGTCATATCAATCGAAAACCAGGGACAATCTTTCTTAAGATGTTTTCTTTTATGGGAACTTAGGGCTGTGCAGCAAGGAACGTGCATGGATTTAACCTTGATGATATACAAAAGATGGCTAGCCAATGGGAAGAAGCTCCGCCTTTATACTTACAATTGGACATCAAGGTTTGTTTAAATAAAGTACAAGGTTTTGTCATCTGTTTTGAACCTACTTGTGTTGTTTCCCCCTCAATTTCTCGAGATGCGTTGGATGATGAGGGCATTAAAGGTTATGGTCAGTTTTTTGGTGCAATAATTTAAAAAGTCAGAAAGCATGCAAATTTCATTCTGATGCACTAATGACAAGAACTTTGGGAAAGGAATGAAATTATCAATTTGATAGTTCGATAGACAGGAAGGCAACTTCTTACCTGTAATGAAAGTTCTTTTTTGAATTGTGACGACTTGCAGTCTTTGTGCCATGGGGATGACCTTAATGAAAGTGGAATACAGGAGGTAATTGTATTATTCTTTTTTGTAATAAAGTTATGAAATAATCTTGTACTATATAGTTCCGAGTTCTAGAAAAATTTATGTCTGTCATGTCTGTCTGCCAGGTGGACATGGACATGGAAGATGGAGATGATGATAGTCTGCCTAGTTTTCAAGAAACGAAGTCCGAGAAGACAGCGTCACCTCCACTAAGAGATGATGCTTCTGAAGGTATAGTAGCATTTCATGAAAAAAATAATATATGCGTTTATCTGAAGTTCATCTGGTATTTTAAATTTGTTCATCAATTAGCCTAGGCTAACAGCACATCATCACAGGTTTGACTCATAAGTAGTGTCTTCTCTCATCTCATTTACTTTTGTATTTTGTTTTTTGATCTGCAGATGATGGGAAGAGATGGGATGCAGAACCAGACCATGTGAGAGAGGAAGTAAAAGAGTTAGGTAGGAGTAAATGGTCAAATGATTTGGATGAAGATGATACAGAGAGAACTGATGGCCTGAATGGTCATGCAAATGCTCTCTCTGGCCTCATTCAAGCATATGCCAAAGAAGGAAAATCCGTGCGCTGGATGGACCAGGTTTGTGTTCTGTCACATCTTATTCATTTCATTAGTGGTTGTAGTTGCTCAAAGAAGTATACAAACTTTGCTATTTTTGCTTACTGTGAGAGTTGAACGGTGTATCTGTGGATCAATCTGGATTTTCTTTAATATAAGACTGCACAGAATGTACAAAAATTACCAGTGTCATATTCCCTAAAAAACTTCCTCTTCTTTTCCAGGTTGGTAACACTGGATTTTCAATAGGTGCTGCAAAAAAGGCAAACAGATTATCTTTAGTTATTGGTCCTGGTGCTGGATATAATCTGGTTAGTGACTCACACTGCATTCTGATGAAAATATTTGTCAAACTCAGTCTTTTGAGTCGTGGAGCTCAAGAACTTGTGATTTTTTTTTTAATAGTTGACTAAAGTAACCTGTTAAATTGCAGAAATCGAACCCATTAGCAGTAGAAGAATACGTGGGGGGCACAGCCCAAAACAGCAGTGAGTCAAAGAGACACAGCAGATTCGAGGAGCGATTGCGTGCAGAAAGTGAATCCTTTAAGGTGGTTTTTGACAAAAGGCGACAGAGAATAGGAATTGATTGGGACGATGAATAGGGAATGGGATGAAGAACATGAACAAGCAAAGCAAAAAAATGTTTGCCCATTTTTTTTGACATTTTGTCCCCTTGAATTGAAATATGGTGGCTCAGTGTCAGTGTGTAGGGCAGCGCAGTGGGAGATGTTTGAATTGATGAAGATGGTAACTTTTTTCTACTCCCATCTTATGGTTTGATCGCCATTTTTGCTGGTCAGAGTTCGTGTAACCAATAACAATGCTTTTTCGTTCCATTTATTTGTCTCCTAAAACTGCTTCATTCATCATTGTAAATTACATCCGCCAAATGATATTTGCATAATTATCCCAATTTTAGTGATTTTCATTCTTATTGTCTTCCCCAACCCCGCCCTCACCTATTTCGTTGCCCGTCCCTGCAAAATTGTCGATAAAATTTTACAGGGATTGGAGCGAGATTTCTCTCGGTAGTTTTCCATGGAAAGTTTCTAGGGAAATTCTCTTTTAATGATGATTTTTTTTTTAATTTTGAATAATCACAAATGTAATAAAGCCTAAATATCTTGTAAGAAAAATGTGTCCAAGAAAATTAAAAGGCATAAAGGTTAGGTTTATAATATTTTTTTGTTTTAACATGTATTTAAAAAGATTAAATTGGGGCTTAGTTAAGAGGGTTAAAACATGAGTCACACCATGTTTTTTTAGTACAACATGTAGAGTGGGAGATCGAACACACAACTCATGGTTGGAGTATATGTCAATTACTGCTGAATATTTTAAGTCACAGCATGTATAAATTTAACCTATACCTAACCGTTTTTTTCCCAAAATTAATATCGACTTTTAGACAATTAAATTGACTCTTGTTGAATTGATCGGTGTGTGGTCAAATCGTATAATATGTATACTTCAAGTTTAAACCAAATAAACTAATTTTATTTGATCAATTTCATAGATTTTTTTCTATTTCAACTTGCATTTTTTTTTTCAGTACGCTTGAACGCCTACTTAATACACTTACTTTTTTTTTCTTTTTCTTTTTCCCTTAATTTTTTGAAAATTCGCTTACCCTCTTTACACATAGGTTAATGTATAATTTTATTATTTTCACATCATGAAGAATCATTAGATTACTCTTTCTCCCAAAAAAAAAAACACATTAGATTACATTTTGCAACAAATGGGTCAAGTGACTCTGAATCTTTATCTCCTTGACCATCAATTTCAATTACCTCTCTTAGTTTCCTTTCATATTTAGTTTTGAATGCATGTTGCTAAAATTATATACGCTATCATCTCTTAATGAAGTTCAGTAAAACAATGGTGGAAAAGAAAAGTAACTTTTTAGAAGATGGATCACCATAGCCAAGAATATTACAATGTACATAACATCGCATAAATGATTCACAAAACTTTGTAATGGCAAAAGCTGCCATAGTTCTGTATGTTTCTTTAGCTTCTATCTAAAATCTTTACTATACTACAACCTCTGTTGATCACAGGGTACATATTCAGTATTCACAATTGAAAGTTGTGCACAAATTTCACTAACAGGGCCGGTTATTTCTGCATTTCAAAGGCCCCGAGAATCGTGTAAGCCTGGTCACGAAGCTCCCTGGTTTTGCAGTGATAACATCTTTCTTGGAGTACTTTCTGATGGGGCTCCCCGATTCGATGAAAAATGCTCCATTCATCATTAGATCTCCTTCTGATCTCCAGTTCCATGACTTCCACTCGCTCTCCGATGCGTATGCCCTTTTTGTCACCTGAACGAACCCAACAACGATACGAGAGAAATGCTATTAATATTCATGGCATTCTATCTTAAAATCAATTGGTAATGAGATGATTGCTCATGAGGAGTCCATTTTCTTTTCAACGTGGGATCCTTAATAAGTGCAACATGATAGTCAGTTACTTGTCTAATATGTCTAATGTTTGTTCTTTATACCTCTTTGCAGTTTGGGTCTGGCGGGGCAATGAAGCGGTTGCCCTGGCTGATGATGGTGGGATTGTGGCTACCGCCGATGGCATACATGAGCCAGTGAGTGTAGTCATTATTGACTACATGGACGAACCCCCATCGGCATCTTGGCATCCTTTGCACCAACCCTTTACCAAAGTGATTAAATGCAAGAGTTACCTGCATAATCTGATCATTTGAGTAGCTATCACTTGCACCCAATAACATCACCTTCAAGCACAACAGGAAAGTTGTCAGTTATAAACATCAGTATATAGAAACTCAGAATCACTGTTTTTTTTTCTCTATGGTATGAGGAGTATACATCGTTATGTCGGGTGAAGTGACAGTTGGAGATTGTAATGCCAGTAGATGCCATGACGGCATCTATAAGTCCATCTTGACAATTCGACATTGAAACGTGATCTATCCAAATCTTTGTGGCTCCAAACATTGAGATGCCATCACCATCGCTCGGTGTTCGTAAACCATAGTGGCTCACCGAGTCTCTTATAAGGCCTCCATGGCCATTCTTGATATCATGGATGTGCAGATTACTGATGATTATATTCTTCACAAATTGTAGAGTAATTTGACCGCCATTGGCGATGTGCACGTTGGCACCGCGTCCATCTATTGTCTTGTTATCGGTTATTATAAGCTCTTCACTTAGCCTAATAACCATGTCGTGTGCAAATACAATCCAAAGTGGTTTTTCCTGTATCACACCGTAGCGCAGGGTTCCTGGTTTAGGATTGAGCAAGTCGTTATCGCTCGAATCTCGAACCACGTAATACCTTCCATCTTTGCCTCCAGTTGTTCCACGGCCGAAGCCAAGTGCACATTCAGCTAGCTTCTTGCGGTTTTTAGCCCAGTGTTTGTCACATCTCCAACATCGGTCGATGGGGTTCGTAGCTAAGCATGGACCACCACTGTAATGCTTCAAATGTCTCCTTGTGTTATTTGCACCATCTAAGGATCTGTGTCTCACAATAAAAGACAGAATTATTCACCATCAGACACAATATAGGCAAAACCACATAAACATAAGCATTGTATATATACTTTTTGAACTAGACCAAATTAAGAATTTAATGTTCAAATTAACAGAAAACTGATTTATTTGGTAGTGAGGAAATGGTGTTACTTGTGAACTTGCTGGTTGAAATTACTAGTGACTTCTTCTGGATGGGGTTGATAGGCCTCAATGGCAGCCTTCTTGGCTTCTTGAGCTCTTTTCTGCCATACCTCATCAAAATCTGCAATATTAGCCTTCAGGGTTGGAAATATCATCACACAAGAAAGTATCATTAGTAGCTTAAGCCCAATAATGGTGGTTTCTGTCTCTCTCATCTTCATCTCTTTCAGCTTTCTTAATCTTTTGGAGGAATTTTTTTTTCTTTGTAAGCTTTGGTTAATGCTCAATAATCTACTTGAATTTGGGAACTAAAATGTTGAGCATTATAAATACAGAGCTTCACTAAATAAGAGAATGAGAAATGGAGAGGAAATGAAGGGGAGCCATCCCCTTCAATGGTCAACTTCTTATTTGCTTTCTTTATCCATTTCCATGGAACTGTGGTCTTGGGGACCTTTCATTTACTTGTGCAAATATGTGGATTATAAGATCTTGGGTTGTTTGAAATAATAATTAAATTAATAAATAAATTTTATTCCTAAAACTAGGGAATTGGATGCATGGAATGGCATACAATATCATCTATTCTTCTTCCACATTTTTTTTATTAAAAAAAAAAATTCTTTCAGTCTCTCCTAAATTTTTTGATATTCTAAATCCAATGTCAATCAAGGTCAAATGGTCAGAAAATATCTCTAACAAGAATATTAAAAACTATTTTAAGTAAACGATGTTTCTGAATAATAATAAAATCAAATTTAACTATTTACCTTTAAAACCTTCATCATTTCAATCCAGAGTTAGACTATTTATGGTCAATTGTGACCTACTTCAAAATTCCAGATTTTGAAGATATCACAAGAAAATTGATTATCAAAAACATTGTTCTATTTAGTATTTGGAGCCAAGAAAGAGCATAATTTTACTATTGAAAAGAATTTTGTTTAAAGGCTATTAAACAGCAACTGTATACATACAAGTAAAAAGAAAGGAATAAAATAAAGCAGAGATAGCCTTCTCATCTTGTCTCAAACACTCTGGAAACAAAATCAATGTTAATTTGGAGTGTTTTTTTTTTCCAAACAATGGCATAAATCTGCCATTTTCTCCAAAAGGGTTTTTTTTTTTTTAAATACAAGAAGATAATATGATGGTGAAGAAAAATTATGATAAAGGTTACTGAAGTATAAACCGATATGGGAATCAAGTCCAGCATCACCAAGGCAAAATGTAAACAGAAATGAAAATGCTTGATGGGATTTCTATTTAGGGTCAGGGGAAAATGAATGGATTAATTACTTTCCATAATCTAATAATAATAACAATAAAGAATCTCAACTTACTTTAACGAAGAAAGACACAAAATTCTTTGCGTGAAACAAGTGACAATCTTATTCAAATAAGTCTGTCCAATGGGAGCAGGCTCAAATTGATGGTGAAGTGAATGAATCTTATCTTCTTAAAGAACAGAGAACATAATCAAACAATCAGCAGAAATGATAAAAAAATTGTGGGTTTGATGCACTTGATCACCACCCCCATTTCGAATTTGCAACTTTATGGAATCCAGCCTTCTTTTTTACAGACATAAGCTTGAGATATGGATTAGAGCCCTAAAGTAAAACAACTGTTGGAGGGTCAGAGAATGGAGAAAGTCGAAGTGGAACAATAAACATATCTTTCTTTCTTTCTTCTTTTAAAAACCCTAGTCATCATATTATGCATTGATATGATGTGATGAAGAGAAAAATACGCCAAAGGACAGCAGAAGAAGAATCAGTAAGAAAATTACTTTTATGAGATGGGGGATCAGATTCTCGCAACAAAGTCCACCCATTCAGAAAGTGCAGAAAAGGAGATGGGGCGGTGTTGGTGAAGCTTCTTCGACATGCGACCCACTGAAGTTCAGCAAATTCTCTGGCGGATGGTGGCGTCTCCATTGAAGGAGCACAGAGAAAATGAATTGAAGAAATCGAGAAAAGGGGGGCAAGGATTTGGTGGGGAGGCTGTACTTTTTGGGCAATTTCAAGTAATTGATGATGGTTATGTGAGAGAACATTTTGAGAAGATTTAATATGAAAGGGCGATGGAATGGAAGAAAAATTATGTGGGAATCGAAACAGTGGTGTGCAGGATTGGTTTCTGTTTTTGAAGAATTTTGGAATATATTATTGGGAAAGAGAGAGGATAAAAACAAGAGGGAAACCAAAAAGGGGATTCAAAAACTTCACAAGAGAGAATGGAATCTAATCTCTCTCTCTCTCTCTCTCCCACTCACATAACATTCTCTATTTCTTTTCTTTTCTCCCTTCTGTCCCCACCGAATCCTTCGCTTTGAGATGCTAATAAATATTTTAGCTACTAAAATGTAATTCCACCGTTATCGTTAGATTTGCTAATTCAAACGTAATTGAGTTGATGAGACATTTCTTATCACCTTAAAAAGTAAACGGGATTATCTTATAATTTCACTGGTAAAAGTCAATTGCTATCATTTTTTATATATTCAGGACAAAATTTATGTGGTCGCAAAATGCCTTGAATAAATTAATTTTTTTATAAATTTGCTAAGCGATTGTAACTTTTTTTTACAAACAAAATATTGATTGCAAGGTGAATAAATTAATTTTTTATTACATATTATATATAAAATGATAGCGTACCCAATGAATTTTGATGAAACGACAAAAAGGTACGAAATAAGCCCGGTGTATTTTTAGTTTGATTACAATTGTTAAATAAAAAAGAAAGATGTGGCACATTGTAGATGAATGGGAATCATTCCCAGCCTTGAACTAAAAAAGAAAAATATTATTAGTTTAAAGAAAATAACATGTTAAAATTCAGCATAAATGGATTAAAAATAGTAATTTAATATATATTTGAACAAATAGAATTTGGGAAAAGAAAAAAAGAAAACAAAAAGGAGAAAGCAAACGCCATCAATATTCAATAGAATACGTTCTTCAATCTTCAATCTTCAATCTTCAATCTTCAATCTTGGGCATTGTGCTGTGGAGTTCAGCTCTCTATTTCTCCGCCATCAGCGCCTTCTCTTCTTTTTCTTTTCGTCTTTCTCATTATTAATTATTGTATTTATTTTTGGGCTTTGGCTTTATACGAAGATGAGACCATGACGACGCCGCCACAGCCGCCGCCACCGTCACCGTCGCCACCCAAGACCGTCAGGAAGCTCGTCGTCGAAATCGCCGATGCACGCAACCTTCTTCCTAAAGACGGCCAAGGAAGCTCCAGCCCCTACGTCGTCGCCGACTTCGATGGCCAGAGGAAGCGGACCGCCACTAGGTTTCGCGAGCT